CAGCTATGCTTACTAAATAAATTGCTTTAATTGGCTTTCTAATGTACTAGTGTTCAACATCACTGCAATGCTAAGTTTTGTAAAATTTTCAATTAATTACTAGAGAGCTCTCAACACTGTACTCTGTAATCTATAAAAAGCTGTGGCGTTGTTACTAGGTTTGTAAAAAAAAAAAACTGTGGGAACCTAAAACAAACAAATAACATAATAACGTATGTGAAGTCTCTTTTCGTATATAACAGATTTCTACAACAACAAAAAGCATAATCGTTCTACTTATTAGCAAGCCTTTTTTCATTCGTTTAGTGTTATTTGTGGTGAGTTTTTGTTTCTTTAAAAATCTTTTTTGTATACTTTAAAACGATATGGTTTTTAAAACGGATTTGTATGGATTTTTTAGGTTTGATTATGTAATGCCAGTTCAAATGGAACAGTAAAAGACTATTATATACTATATAATTTGCATGGGATACCTAGGCTACTGTTTCGTTTTTTTTTATAGACAGGTAAACTACTAGACGAGGGGAGCGAGCTGGCGTAGTAGTTAGAGCGCGGGACTTCAGTCCCTGAGGTCCCGGGTTCGATCCCCACCAAGTCAACAATGGATTTTATCTAAGTGATAATGACACTGCCCCTAGGTCTAGCCTGAAGTAATGTGAAAAACAATCCCAGGCTTGTGCCTAGCGTCCTAGGAAAAAAACTACTAGACGAAGTGGAGTTTGAGCGTTAATGTCACGACATTATTACAATCTAATCCATTGGTAATTGGTATGATTCGAATATGATCATCCATATCAAAAAATTCCGCGTTTTAGCCTTTATAATGGCCATAACACTAAATAATGCAAAAAACCCTATGGGTGTGGTTCTCTAGATAAAACTTGTCATATTTTTTTTTATTGAAGAACTACTGTGTTTGACGATGTCTCCATCTTCAACATCTAAAAAGAGCATTACAATAATAGTAGTTTCGTTTCAATTTACTAACAAATACCTATATAATTCCTGAATCAAATCTTTTACTTTCATTATTTTCTACATAAACTATCCATTAATATTTTTTAAACTAGGCTAATGGGTTTTGAATATCATACATTCATTGTATAAGAAATGACTTGTAAAAATTATCTTTAGAAACTTTTCAAGTGAATATCCCATTTAATAGTTTACACCTTATGTTACAACATGGTAGGGTTGGAATGGGGAGTTCTGTAACCGTTGTATATCATGAGATAGCAGTTGATGGTGCACAAGATTTAGTGGCCGAGGTCACATAGCTGCAACCCCATACACAAACCTCCAGTATGATGGTGCTTTGTCATCCATAAGTTATCGCGATTATCTAAGCTACCTGCTCTATCTTTGGACTTCTTCGTTTAGCGATTTGTTTTATTGAAGGAACCTAAAAATAGTTTAAAACTGCATTAGGCTCGTACTACGTGTACGCATGAAAATAAGTGGGTACACTTAAAGATACTACGAATACGATCGGCTTGTGCAGCGTTTCCCATTTCATTCAACGTTTGGATTTAACCTAACCTATAAACGTGTTCCTAAAACCTAAAACCTAACCTAAAAAAGTGCTTGAAATACTAATTACTGTATTTATATTCTTTATAGTAACTGTAGGAAAATATGACGTGTAACGCGAGCGCAAAGTCCCTTTGCTACACTCGAAAAACTTTCCACACTCGCCTACGGCTGGTGCGCAAACATTTCTCTCATGTGCAGCAAAGTGCCACTTGGTACACAAATAGCTATAGATTCTACCTTTCCTTATCTTCTTGTTCCATTTATGTTTTAATTTGATATTTTAACAAAGATTATGTGTTATGTTAGTTGGCGTTTGATGTTTTTTATTTACGTTATACTCATTTGGTACAAACGCGTTTAGTACCAATGCATTTTACAGGATTCGGACAGTATAAAGCACAAAGGTCAGGCAGACACAAAGCAGCGTTCTGCTAGAGTGGCTCGGATGTTCCTCGTAGCGACCGGTGACCCTACAAATGTGCATGCGTCTATATCAATGTAATTACTGATCGGTAAAAGTTTAAATATTTGTATTCACGTTTCTTAGTAGTGGCATGATGTAGACTGTATACATTTTTAACCCCAAGACATCCAATAAACTGACTACATTTCTTTCGAATGCCTGATGCCCAATCATGTACGAAAACATAAGTCGCAAGAGTACGACAGTTGACTTGGAGGACTAAAGGTAGCCAAACTATTATTGGCAATAAATGTATTTGTACTGTATATTGTTTTAACTTGACGACATTCCATGGACTGATTACATTATATCATGCTGATGCCTGATGAAACGTAGGTGGCAAAATACGATAAGAGTTAAACTGGACGACTGGAGGTAATCAAAATGCTTCTGGTGTATTAACAATATCAGAGGCAATAACACTCATAATAATATAAAAACTTACTATCATACTATGTTAAAAATACCCTTTTTACCAACAAACTATTATCAATAAAAAAACATATAAAATTCAAAATAACTGTGAGCTTAAAAATGAAAGAAATATTTTATCTCGAGTTATATTTTAAGCTCAATTGTTTGTTACCATATCCCTATATGTAATGTTATGTTATGAAAATAGTATGCAACAAACTGTAACATTGTTTAGTAGGTCACAAGAATCATAATAGTAGCATTCGAGTTGGTAATTAGGTTTATGGGTGCTGTAAACCAAATGAATAGTTCGCTAGCTTGTTGCAGTTCAACCAATGTGTTACGAGCAATATGTTCATGTTCGCTCAAAATTGTTACCAATTTATTTGAATGGCTTATGGATCCTCATTCATAGTTTCAAGCCGTAGAAATTTACAATGTGAACCAAAACGCAAAAGCTGGAGGGTATTTTGATAAGCATGACATCTCAGGTTCACCAAAAAACAATTATGAAATTCCAGAATATGTTTTAACTATCATAGACACCGGTTTAAAACTGATATTATACAACTAATGAAACTAACCATTTTGTTATCATGCAATATACAAGAAACCTTTGTATACGTTCAAATTATTTTTACCACGGGATTTCAGCAGATTTAACGACTTAAGATTGTAAAACAAGTATGGTGGTTCTTTCATTTGGTAGTAATGACAACACGTTTTTAACCCAGAAGTGGATAACCTCAGGACATATTCAGTAGGCCTAATAATTCTAGTTAATGTTAGTCAATTGCATATATTATCTATTCGATTTAATGAATCCCTTGTCCATTCAGGCTAGTAAATTCTCGTAGCTAAATGGCCTATTGAACCGCATATAATGCATCTCTTTTCTGTATTTTCTTATACAGTAGTTCTCTTATCTAATGGTCTAATGAATCTACTATATATACATTCCAATAAATCTAAACTTTACCTGGTCTAATTAATCCCTTTTGAATAAGGTATAATTCTCTTTCCCTTATGGTCTAACAAATCACTTATCTTCATGGTCTATTGAATCTCTCATCTATAAGGTCTACTGAATCTCTTCTATCATATCTTCTCATTCAACAATCAATCTCAATTCAATCGCATTCATATCTCTTATTTATTTGGCTCAATGCATCTCTTATCTACATGATCTACTAATACGATTATCTATTGTATGGTCTTATGAATCCCTTATCATAATGATATTTTTAATCTAATTCCTACATGGTCTAGTGTATTATCTGCCAGCTTAATTAAATTGTTATATAAATTATTATCAAATCAGCCCTTTATTTTCTTAACACAATAAATATCATATCTTAAGGTATAATACACTTCTTGTCTAAACATGAAAAACATAATAAAATTAAAAGTTTTCGAGTAACCAACATATAAGTTTCTAGGACTTATCATATATTTTAATGTTAAGTCATGGTGTTAACTTAAATTAAAAATGACTTTCATCGATTTTCCCTTATACGGAATAAGCTGGTGTTTTGGAGGAGCTGTTATGTAGTTATACAGGTTTGCTGCACTGGGGGTATGTTATGTTTCAGTACAGTTTTAACTATCGTAAGTCATATTTGGTCAATTTGATGACATGCTCAACAAATGTTTGATTTTGATTTTGTTAAGGAATTAAGTGTACTGTACTGAGAATTTTTGTTTGGAAATATGTGCTTTTTTTAGTAATAAACTTTAGGGTCGAGAAATCTATTACCAAAATACATGCAAGTAGACCTCTCTGTCATGTCTGAGTAAAAATACGATATTAAAAAAAAAAAATATTTGTTATCAAATTTATTGGGTTTAAATAGTATACCTATGATGTATGTTTAACATTATAATTACATATTTCTGGTTCATTAACATTAGTTATAGTACCATGTATACGATCCATTTTAAAAAAAGGTATAAAGAAGAAAACTCCAGGTCTTCTCAGACTTCCAGGATCTAGCAAAGAAAACTTATAAAGTTATTACTCTTGACTAACTATAACTCGACTTTCTATAAAAATAAGAATATTTTTTCATTTGCAAAGATAAGTATAAAATAAAAAAATGCAGTATATAACAGATATCGAGTTTTAGTTAGGCCTAAGTGTTAATTAATAATTCAAAATCTAAGCATATACCAATTGTGGTACCTCAAATTGAATACTTAGTAATAAAAAAAAAACTAATATTACAAAAGAATCTCTAATACTGCTATTGCTGGTTGGTTTCAATTTCAATCCCTACACGAAGTTTTAAATCCAAAAGGAAACATTGCAGCAAAACTTAAAAAGAAACAAAGAGAGAATATTTCTAAGAGACTCCCTTGTCTCTCCCCTCAGCTTAGGAGTTTTTTAATTGGACACGTTTAACAACCCTAGCGTCGACCGGTGAATGGCTACCGGTGGATAGGGTGGGCGGTGGATCCAGCTCAAGGTCAACCTAGTGTTTAACACTATCATATATACCTTATTGAAATATATACGTATAGAAAACGTTGATTAGTGTACTACAAGTATAGAATGTAGATTGAGTGGGAGTACCCTCTACCTCCCGCCCACCTTTCTTTTCCTCATGTTTCCCGGTTCCTCGGCATCCGCGACGTTCTCTAGCAGACTCCTGAAGGTGATACACTTCACTCCACTTCACCACACACACTAACGCCCTCGTACCACTTCAGCTACAACATGCCCGTCCGCTAACGGCCAAGGATCGAAGCCAACTGCGCTCCCATGGCATACCCACTGCGCGCGCATATCCCGCCATGCCGTCTCCATGACGACGTTCAGATCCACCCTACGTCCGAGTTGAAAATTTTCATTTTCTTAGCCTACATATGACGGAAAATTCCATGTTTTCGCACCGAGGTGCCCGAGGAGGCTCTCCCGACGGCTTTAATCTTCCCGTCTCTTCTTTGTCTCCTCTTTTACGCTCCCCTGTGACGTTTTAAGCTTCTTAGATCTTAGTCTTCGAACTGAAAACATTTATACTGTATTTTAAGGTGGGTGTTTTTTTTTATCGGTGTGGTTGTGCTTTGTTATAAAGGGATAGGCGGTTTAAAAAATTATTTAGTAAATAAATTATTTTATAATGTATGTGAAGAACTCTCTAAAAAGATATGACACCATGGTCGTCAGAGATCAAGAAGCGGGGTTCCTTGATAGCGTAATAGGCTAATATGCAACTGGTTGTTTTTCGATGTCAAGTTCGATTCCCTTTATACAAAATAATGAATTTGAGCAACCGACGTTTTTGCATAAATTCAACAAAACGTGATTCTTGACTACCGCTCAGTATTAAGACAAGGTATAAGTCGTTTCACATTTTCTCTTCTATTTCTGAACCAAGTAAGAACAATTTTGAAGTTCTACTTAATGTGGCATTTGATATTTACATTTTCATATTGTTTTTATTTTCACCGGTAAATGTTTATTATACGTGAGCACGTTCCATTTCATAATATTAAATTACTTCTCTTATATTATAATTAGGATCCAGACTAAACGAAACCGTTACCATAATGTTAATACTTACCTAAACAAGTTTTATTGACAAATTCATCGTCTGGTGGTGTTATGTTTACAAAAATAAATTAGGTTGAATTACTTGGAACAGGTATTTCTTTTGCAGAGTTTACTGCAGATGAAATTATGTATTAATTAACTTCTCTGTGTTATACTAAATAAATGGTCGTATTATGTGTTTACCTGTTGGGTATGATTAAATAGTTTAATTCAATAAATTCAAATTAAACTTTAGAATAGAATGGTAGACAGTAACTCAAAACAACAGCTAAGACACCCTCCTTGCATGGGTGAATTATAAATTAATACATGAACGGCTAGTTAGGACTTCAACTATTATGAGTTTAATACTATAACAAATCAGTCCAAAAACACTGTATTTGACACTTTCATAAACGTCCTACCTATGAATAAAAATGTACAAACTCTGATTTAAAAAGGTTCTAAATGGCATTTCGTATCAAGTTGTTGTTGTAGCTGACTCATTGGAACTAACAATTGCACACCCAAAAAAAAAATGATGATTAACCAAAATATCGGCTTTTAAAGATAATTTTGAGGTATTGATTTATTTTATAGATGAAAAATTAGTAAATAAAAAGGAAATTCTAAGGTTTTATCAAACAGTTTCGAAAAAAAAAATTAAATTTTTATTAGATATTAAAATGATTTATCTTACCTTAACCGTTCAACTATTTTACGTTCAAATGTGGTCGTAAAAATTTGCTGCATTCAATAGCTCATATGACAAAAACTTTTGAAACTAAAATTATTTGTCAATAAAATACTAAGCAAAAATAACTACCCTCAAACCTAAGACCTTAAAAGAACCTATCTATGAAATAAGTAGAGAGGAACCATATATAACATGCACCTTCTTGTCTATAAAATATATGTTTAATCATAATAATTGACTATATTAATCAACGAATATTGTTTATATAATCGTCCGGGTTCTGATTATTAATAATCTCAAAATATAATTTAGTATTATTCAAGTTCTTATTTTACACATCATAATATGTTTTATTTCAAAATGATAAAAACAATCTGTGACTGAAATCTCATTTTTATGGAAAGAATTTTCCAAAATCAATTAGTTTCCAGTTTTGAGTTCATACAGTATTCTCTTAGAATAAGTAGATAGTAACTTAGATAAGTATTTAGGTTTTGTTTGCAGAATATGTGTTGTAGACAAACATTTAATTACTTATGACAGCCCTTAAACAACCCTTACAATAAATACCCCCGCCGCAGCAAACCTGCAGACTAAGAGAATTTCCTTTTGCCTGATTGGATTTACACTAAAATGTCTCCTGAAAAATATCACATTTATTGCCTATTTAAATAGAATTAGTTTAACGAGTACTTAGGTTTGCTGCAAAATGGAGGGTAAAAATGTTTATTTTTTTATAATATTAATAGTTTAGTAAGAAATAAATGCATTTTCCAATTTTATCAAAAAAGGTTCATAAACAGCACATAATAATGCTTCAATGTACTAAAAAATGAAAAATAAAAAAACAATTTTTTACCCCATTAAACTCCCCTTAACCCCCGTTCCCAATGTCCAATCATGCTGGTTCGCGAACTCGTTCGGATAAATGTAGGTTTATATATATGGATTTTAACGGATGGTGTTTTACCTTTAGGGACCTCGAAACGAAAAAGTTAATCGGTTCCGGGTCCAGGTCTTACTATGAGTACTACGGTAATAGCTTATTCCCTATATGGAAAATTTGCTAAAAATTGTGTAACCATGCCTTGTCTTAGATAAATAGTTCATTATCAAAATTCAACAACAAACTTAATTTCCACTGTTTACTTTAGAAATTTAAGTCACGTAACAAACATAAACGTTTTCACTGCTGTTAAACTTTGCCGGGCAAAACTGAGATAAAACGCAATGGCCTCGTATTATTCATTAGAGGTGGGTTTATGAAAGACTTGAAAATTTGATATCTGCAGTCTCTAAAGCTGCATTCAGGTCTCGCCTTTCACTAGACTCTTTAGGAAACCCTCTTCTCGGTCGCAAGTAATTATTTTCTGATTAAGACCTCAACCCCCGCCCTTTACATTTGAACTATAGCACCTTTCATTCTTTCATTTAGATTGGATAAATCCGATAGCTTCTCAGGTGATCATAATGATGAGAGTGAAAATGGAAATTTAATTCTCAGACCTAAGGAATTGTGATCATTAATGCTTAGGGAATCAACATTACTATCGTGTGAGTTAATACTTACATAGTTCACTTATTATGTTATTTTTTGCCTGTTTACCTTGTATTAAACTGTAAGGTTCACTATTACAAAATTGAAATACCACTCACACTGATCACTGTATTTAAAAAAGTACTAACCATAACAACTCAGGAATTAGCATGGAGATTCTAATTAGGCCCTAGGTGTGCATTAAGAAGCGTTTTTAAGAAATTCCGTCAGGACTCTGCCCCAGTTGCCTCCAAAGTTTCCATGTTATCTTTATGGGGAAAATATTTGTTTAATTTTAAACAGATGAATTAACTAAGGGAACAGCTGGTTGTATTTATTAGATTGAAATGACAATATTTTGCATTAAACTTATGTTGTGGCTTAAAAATTTGTGCTTTACTGCATAAAACTATTTGTAACTGTCAAATGGATTTAAAATTCAAGAATTTGTCAAATACTTTGTTGAAGTTTTTAAGATTTGTTTCTCAGCAACTAAATAACGGTATATCTTTTAGGGATTATGTATTCTGAATATCAATGTCAAAGGAACAACTAATTTGAAATCGATTTTTATCTAATATTTAAGGGATGGGCATCATGTCTTCTTATCACTAGTTTTTGATTATTTATAAAGGGTACTCAAGAGAGAATCACAGAAGTGCTTGATAAGTCCACTTCCATCTCTAGGATGATAAAGATTTTACTATCATGCAATTTCAGATGAGTATGTTGCTTTACAATCCCAGTACACGTATTTTGTGGATTATGTAAAAAGTATTAGCTTTTAAGGGATTTTTGTAGATAAATGCATGATATCGGTGTTAATGATTCTTTTTACTGGAGAGGTGATACAAACCACTTTTATGTGAGTACATTCCGTTTGGTGAAAACATCATAGACTCTGTAGACCTGCAATTGCTTAGGGCCTGTGAGGGTTATAAGAACCACAATAAAACATCGTGCTAGGTTTTTATGTTACTTAATTTTACTTTAAGATAAATTAAACTATCCAATAAGTTATGTGAGATCTGACAGTACTATTGGAAAGTTAGGTTTAAGGATGTAGTTAAACCTAAGTGAAAGAAGATTCAGCGGGAATTGTTTCTGTAACAAAAATATGTATTCAGAGTGAAAAGTCCGAAGCTAGGTAGTAGCTAGGTAGTAGGACAGTATTGTTGTAAATGGAGAAGTTCTCTCTTAGTTTAACTTAAGTGGTCACATATGTTTAACTTAAATTTTCGTGAGTAAAGCAGCCACGACGGGGTAAGCTATTCACTATAGTATTCGTATCTTATACCTGTGCAGCCGAGAGAACACAGTGCTCATCTAACAATGTAGGTCATTAGTTGATTCCTGAGGAGCTAGTGGTAGCCTTAGATATTACGAAACTATACCCAGCTGTTCTTGGTTAATGGTCTTTTAATGGCTGACATTGATATCACTCACAGGTAAAAAATACTTAAAATGATGAAAGAGAGTGTAAAGAGATGCACTAGCACATTAAATTATACAATTACACTTACTCCAGCTAAACTGTAATTAGTGCTACCAGTAAAAATAGGTATCATAGTTTATATAGTGTAAACTTAAGGTTATTTAGTATAAATGTAAAAGACATACAAGCCCAAGTAAATCAATCTGAGTGATTATTTATATGCCAATTCTAAGTGCGGAAAATGTCTTAAATGACAAAACGACATTAGTATTACCAACAAATATTTTTTACGAGGTAGAACTACTTTTCCACCCAACAAATTAAGCTTAAAACTTGAACTTTATTTTTGGACAACCGGATAAAGGTAAACAATTTGTCAAACTACTAATTTAATAACCGGTCAAATGTAAGTGGTGTATATTTTTGCGTTTTTTTTTTGAACGGCTGAGACACTTAAAAACATACAATTGAGCAATTGAGAAAAAGTAATATGAAGCCGAAAAATTACTCCCAAGATACAAAATCCACGCTTTTAAGATTCGACCCGCATGTATTTCGATAACCAGTGAACTAGTCCCAAACACAAAGTATTTTTTATTTGCCAAATATACTTTTTTTATTGGCAAACATGTGATGCGGGTATACAAACCAGCAGGTTAAATGCACAGAATCTAAACAATTACTTTTGTGTGAGGTTGTACTAACACGGTGGTTAGGCGTGCAATATATTTGTATAGCTTTAATGCTGCTTTTAATGCATTAAAAGAGTGACGTTAATAAAGATGAAACTGTCAGAACAGTGAGTAGAATTTCACCGCTTATTAACATTTATTAGCTCATTGACAATTAAATTGGTCTTAACAGCTGATTAGTTGAAGATCAAAGCATAAAAATATTTTACTTCTTTTTCTCAATCCGTAAACTTTATTGGTCCGTTACACGTGTTGTTTGTAAAACAATGCTGTTAAGTGAATCTTTTCAATTCTATGAACTGAAATGAAACTGCTACTGTAAGTTACAGTTTTAGGTAATAGATATTTTGTTTTTTAATTCCACCATAAGATATTTACACAACAGATCATAATATGTATTTGAGGTGATTAAGAAATGCCAAATTTCTACACAAAATAACCAATTTATTATTATTTAAAAACATACAACACCGCTCATTTCTTATCGTTACACTAAACAATTATAAACTATTTAACAACTGGCATAGCATTAGGCAAATTTAAGTAATACGAGGAAACCAACGTAGGACGAATTACAGGAATAGTCATCAAGGTAGGAAATCGTTTAACAAAGGTGGATACACAAAGAGCTTGAAATTATCATAACTAAAGATCTACTAAACAATGTGATTGTCATTAATTTATAATTCCAATAATCTACTGTAAAAGATTAAGTCGGATTATATTCGTATTAAATCAAAATGTTAGCCTAAATAAGGCTGTTTAATCTAACAGTAACTGCTAAAACCTGATTTCCCACTACATTTTAACAATATTTGAATATATTTTATGCTGCAAGATAAGTAGTATGAAGAGGTTTCAACAATTTAACCCCTAACATTTTCATGTTCTATATAAACTTATGATTTAAAATATTTGAATTTATAGGGGTTTATAGGTTAGATAATGTGTGATAGTGCTTGTATCAGGATTTTAACTTGGAATTTTGTATTTTTCTTAATATTCATGTTTTATCAGATTTATGAATTTTTCTAGGAAATTAAAAATATTATTTATGTAAAATTGCCATATAACCTTATATTTTATCACAACATAAAGTAAATAAACGTAGAAATGGTCATATTAAAAGGGATACTTAATTTGTATCGAAGAGGGTGTGCTTGAAAAACTTTATATCCTCAGAACAGAAGTCATCAAATAATATTATGCTGTAACTAAACATTATTTTTTTAACAAGTAAAACACTTTAAACAGGGTTTTGTTATTATCAAAAATGTTAGTCCTTGTCGAGATTTCTATATTACTCTCAACCAAAATATGACTTTTTCCCTCAGTATCCAAAGAAGATTTAGGAACGTGAACCCTTCTACAATGAGGTAATCTAACCAAGTCAGTGTCATACCACCTTTATTAAATGATAACCTACCAAAACCTGACATAGAATTACACAATGAGCAAGCATGCACAATGACCTAAGCTCGGACATAACGTATAAAAATATGCTTGAGCCAGTATTAAACCTGAATTGCACAATTGATATAACTCTGGACCCTTTGGATCAATCTGGTCAATTATTACACTATCATGCAAACTCTCGTGATTGTAGACTATGTTCTTAGGATATGTAAACCGTACAATTAACAAATGCTTAAAACCCTCGTCTTAAACTACACATACAAAATTATTACCATCTATGAAGGACAATGTACAGGGGCTACAAAATGGCATTTAGCACTTTCTTTACACAGCCAAAATCGTAATGTAAATGTATTAGGAATAAATGGAATCGTTGAAAATGTCTTTGAAATGCTGCTTCGTTTTTAGGTATTGTAAGGGTGTTCAATGTGTTTTAAGTGGTGTGAGATATTTCAATCTCAAAATTTTAATTAAGTTGAATAAAATATTTTTACAAAATCGTGAATTAACTAAATAATGAGTTTTGCTGTACATGCACTAAGTAATTGTAGTTAAGGCGAGAAAATATTTTTTTTACGAAAAACCTAAATTGTTTCAATAGTAAATAGCTAATGAATGGAATATTATGTTTCCTTAGACAAATAACACTTCATTGATGATTCAAAATAATTGATAACATCTTATTCAACAACATTTGACAATTGTATATGTATAAAAACTTATTTATAGACAACTTTAGAGGAAATTTTATAGTAAAACTAAAATTAAACTTATAATCTGACGTTCTAAACATAAACAATTTCAGGTAGTTACATAAACAAACTTCAGCATCGTACGTGTTATTAAATTACCTGAAAGCACAAAAAATGTGTCAAATAACACTTGTAATAATATATTTACACTTATACCATATCTTACCAAAATTTATATGGATTTACCGTCTTGTCAGTAAACAGTTTAAGTGTAAATATATTATCACAAGTGTTATTTGACATGTGTTTTGTGCTGTCAGGTAGTTTTATCAAAAGACGTACGCCAATATAATTTTTGACGTGGTCGTATTGGTTTGCGCGTTCTTGGTGGTCGTGGACGTAGCAGGTAGCACCTCTGGCGACAGTTCAGTTGGAAGAAGGATTGACGGACTCTAGTTGGGAGGGTTGTACATTCGACTGCAGCACTGTCCTCGCTCTCAAGTCCTCTGCCAGTAGTCGGGGCTGTAACAGAACAGATGTTTTACATAGGGTAACTTTAGGACAGAAAAATAAAAAAAACTTTAATAATGTTTAAGAATTTTTTTAAACTTTAAAACAGTAAAAAATAAAAAAAAATTCTAAAACTTTTATTTTTGTACACGAAAATTTTTAAAAAACTTTCAAAAAGATTAAAAACTTGAAACATTTTAAAAACTTAAAAGTGGTATTTCTACTGTTGTTCAATTTTTATGTAAATACAAATCAAACAAAAGTGGAAATGCCACTTTTCAGTTCTATAGGTATAGTAAACCTTATCTGTGCTCATTTTGTATATGCACCTTTCTAATAAATGTTATATTTTCTCAGATAGACACCAAAACGGAAATTATGCCAAATCTTACAAAAGATTTTCGTCTTAAATAAAGAAATATGCCAAATAAATATAAGACTTTAACCACACGTAATTCATATTTTTGTAGGTACTAGTATTTATTCTGATTTTATAATATACTACATATAGTTAGGCATGTTATCAATAGCAATTATCAGTACTAATGAGATAAGGACTCTACCAAGGTGTGTATTTTAACCAAAATATAAGTGAAGGTTAGGTGTAGAATGGTGTGAGATGATCTGTGCAGCTTAGTTACTGACTAAGATCAGCAGTTTCAAGAGCCACCATCATTTAGTTTAAGCATTTAGTTAGGATGAAGAACATCTAGATCCAGTGTTGAACTATTAAAAGCTACAAATTTTTCTCAGGATTCAACCGTCGACCTTTTAAATTGCTAGGCTAGCTCTATAACTACTAGGATACCCAGTCAGTTATCGTTTAACTTCAAAGAATATCTCATATCTATTTCTTTAAAACAAAAAATCTGGGGACATTTTACGCTAGGCAGTTAACTTAATCCAATAGTATGCAGCATCGATTGAATGAAAAATACCCCCGTCACAGCAAACTTGCAGACTAAGCGAATTTCCAATTGCCTGATTTGATTTTCACTTAAATATATCTAAATACCATTAGGTTTGATAAATACCTAGGTTTGCTGCTACTAGGGAGGGTAAAAATAGTTTTTTAGTAAAATACAATATCTTTTTAAAATTTTGTCAAGTATTGTCAAAATACATTCATAAAATAGCAAACTACAACAGTTTACTTATTCTCCATAAGAACAACATAGGAATTTTATGTTTGAAATTTTTTGAATTTCGTCCGTAACCAATAATTGTACAAAAACACTTCAATATACTATATTTTTTGTTTTCTAAGCTCTACAAAATGGTTTAAAAAAATCGCAAAATGTTATGTTTATAGGGTCAAAAATCAAAACTCATTTTTACCCCATAAAACCCCCCGTGAAACCCTGTTCCCATGGTCCGATCATGCTGGTTCGCGAACTCATTCAAGTTTATCCCACCTTACCTTTAAATTTCATCAAAGTCGGACAAAAATTGCTCAAGTTATCGCGCTAACGGACAGACACAAACACATACATAGACCTATATAAATATATATGGATTTGAACGGATGATGTTTTCGGCCTCTAGGGACCTCAAAACGAAAAAGTAAATCGGTCCCGGGTCCAGATCTTACCATGAGTACTACGGTAATAGCTTGTTCCCTATATGGGGAATTCGCTAAAACACACAAAAAAAACGCTAACTATTCACTGTACAAATTCTATCCAAAGTCTGCTCGTTAACCCTGCGTTTTGTTGCCTGTTACTCCCAGCATTAGTAGTGGTTTGGGTTTCTAGAGCTGCACTAACAAGCGCTTTGGATTGACCTCATTTTCAGTCATTTCAAAGGCTCCGTTCGAATGGTACAGCCTTCAGCCAATTAGACGTGATATTGTTACAACTGACTTTTTTAACAACTCATTAAAAAAAATCTTCTAATTACCAATTTAGTTGTTGTATTACGTTGGTTATTTAATTTTTATGTTTGGAATTATATATTGTGCCGAAGTTATTTCTAAGAGTTAGTTATTGCAATGTACGGTAAAAAGTAACATTCTCAGTTGTATTATGATGTTATTATAAGGCTACCTTTTTTTTAAACATTTAGTATAATGTATTAATTTTATGTTTAATTGGCTCCATAATATGTATGATACTGCACCATTATGTAAATTTAAACTTAATGGGTGTGTGTTAAAATTGTCATAAAACCACGTAGAAAAAATAATTTTACAGTTTTTTTTTATTGAAGTGAAAAATCTATCAAAATATTTGGAAAGAAATTATGGTCAAGAAAGTAATTTTCATTAATCTTCGTAGTATATTACATTTAATTAAAAGTGCCAATAGCTGTTTTTTTTTTTTCAATTTACAGTAAAGTTTTAGAATGGTCTCACCCAGGAATACCAAATTTGACGTACAAGTAATAGGGAATTTTGAAGTGAGTTTCATGTACGAAGAATATAAAAATATTTGAAGCAAGTGCTGGAGACTTTTAGTTCAAGTTATGAACGATACTTTTCATCACGCCGCAACAATGCCTGTTTTTGTTTGTAGTTGTTTCAACAATTAAATAGTTATTTGTGTAACTAGTGGTGAAAGTGGCACTTTGCTGCACACGAGAGCAATGTTTACGGGTGTCAATGGCAATGAGGAATGATCTCGAGTGCAGCAAAGGCCTTTTTCACTCGTGTTACACATTATATTTTTCCTACAGTATCACTATAAAGCATATAAATAATTAGTCTTTCAAACACTATACAACACGTTTTTAGGTTCAGCTGGCAACACAAATGGTGCCCTAGAGAAAGTAGTACCCGCGGTCCGTATCACTCCGCTATTTTTCCTCGGCAAGAAATGTGCTCCACGTTTTGAGAATATAGTTCCGTATGTTTTTGTAATTTGAAGTGGTTTCCGCGCCTAAAAAAATGCTTTAAAGGTATTTTCTTGTTTATTAAGATCGTAGGAACGTTTTAAAAACGTTTAAAAGAAAAGTCTAGAAATTTCAGAAATACCGAAACTATAAACACGAAATGACAGGTTAAATCGTAGTTATAATAGTCAATCAGCTGCTCATAGTATTATTATCTTTAAGTGTTGCCAACCTATTTCCAAGCTTACACGGATTACGTGCATAATAGAACCACGCTGTTTTGTGTTGTTTCGTTGGAATCCTGATGTGCGGCAAAGTATAAACCGTACGGCAAAGTATAAACCGTACGGCAAAGTATAAATATGCAGCAATTAGCAGCTTTCTGTACTATAAACAGTACAAGGAAGCCAACTTTGTCGGGTGACTGTAGGAAAAAAACTTTTAAAAAACTAGGGTGCGTAGTAGTCAAATGAAGAACTAATTGAGAGCAAGGTTAAGCAAATGAACTGATCGTTTTCTATTCCCTATATTTGAGTCCCTCAGAGTTATAAATGAGAGAGTTAACGTCACAATCCAACGTCAAATGTTTTGGATTCTCAAAAATAGCATTAGGCTTTAAGTGAGAAAATAGTTAGTAAATGCCTCATAAAAAATCCATATATAATATTCCTTAAAAAATTTCGTCCTATAGAAAAATTTTCGATGCATCTGGCAACCCAAAAATGATTTGAATATAATAGCTTCCTCAAAGCGAAGAAAACTTTGATCTATAAGACAAACAGAAGTTGCAAAAGTTTTAATATAGTCTTCAACTTTTTGTTCTTCTCTTGTTCTTGATATTCCTTCAGATTACATAACGGCTTACGACGGTTGATTTGGTTGAAAATTATTAGCTAATAAATATATAAGTAATATATAAGTTATTGGTAAAAGTCTAATAAATGTTTTAAGAGTCAAATCCAAAGTATTTGGAACGAAAAAAAATTTAAAAAGTGAAAAGCCATGCATTCTAATTAAGTAAAAATAAATGTTAAAAAAGCAATTTTATATTAAAAAATGCTTAGCTTAATTAAAGATATATATTTCATGCTCTGCTTTAGCTGTCAAATCTTAAACCTTTATAACAAGTAATTTAAAGTAATTGGTATGCTTTATATTTAACAAAGTAGTATAGTACTTTTTGTTTTGGATTGTGTTAGTTGAAGTAAATTGTAAATTTCTTCTTCTGTGCACACACCTTTCTTTCTTAAACCGTTCAGTGTTGATCACCACCACCTACCGTAAGTCTAGAATTTGAATTTTGAAATTCTGAAACTTAGAGACTTTTTAACTTAAAGGGGTCCCATAAATGATGCAAACTGTGTATCACTATTAGTATTTTTGTATTAATTAATTGGTATATTTTTGTATTAATTAATTGGTAATGGTTCAGTTCAAAAGGGTGAATCCCATGTTCAGGGTTTCAGCTCCCTGAGCTGGAACTTCAGGACGATGACGAGGTGGTTCCGATCCACGGACCCCTACTTAGGATGAAATATCAACAAATAGCTCTGATATACGAAATATCAGCTCATGAGTCTCTAAAATTCCAGTTCTACAGAAATAATAACTAGCGAAGTAATAGACAAACATTTCTTTACCAAACACCATTGGGTAGCACCGAGCGCAGCTAGTGCCATATTCCGATCTAACGGCAACTTAAGGAATCACATCTCACATAACGGAAAAAATTACATGACTTTTATTCCCGTCTGGCCATATATATGATGGATGAACACACAAAAAGAATTTTTCTGTCATCATGTAAACACATCACAATAGATTTTTTTTATTAATGTAAAAGTTTTTTTTAAAGATAGTGATAGTTGAAGATAGCAGTGGGATCATGATAAGAATACCATTTCAGAAAATATAATAAAGCAACTATCTTACTTTTGTCCGTGTTGCAAGAAAAATATAGTTCTGCACTCTTTTCTTAAACCTAGTAACTTAATAATCCTATTTAACACCATAGAAGCCACTTATTTGTTTGGCTGTCAAGATTCTTTGATTCCTTAAAACTTTGTGAGACTCCAGAGCTACTGAGGCGGATTTTAGGGGTGCGAATAGGCCTAAATGGGGAATATGAGCTATCATCATGCCAAATTTCAGTCCAATCCAACCAGCAGTAAATACATGATTGAGCCCCAACAAACAAACAAGCTTTCATTTGTATTATATCTGTACCTGTAGAGGCAGAAGAAGGTTTATATTGCCTATGGTGGCGGCACGAGGCTGTAGCGGGGCTGGCGCGACTACATTTCTGCTGGGTACCAGAGCTAGACTGGGTGGTGACGTCACATCGAGCTCTGTAACATAATAAGTGTCTTTAGCTGCTCTGCACAAAACCATGATCCTACATGCGACAGGTACAAATATTATGAAATACTACTTAAACATGTTACCTATGTACTGTAAAGTTGTTAACAAGCACAAGACGACAGATAAGTATAAGTTATGCCTGTAAAGAGTTTTAATTTTTAAGGACATAATTTTCATCCGATCAATATTAGTTTTTACTTAAATTTTTCATTGGTTTTCAAATTTGTATGTGCAATTGTGTTTATTTTTTTATCATGATTACGACCTTTAAGACGTTCAGCTCTAGCCAAAGATCACTTGTTAAGTCAAATATATTTGCCTAGTTGCAAAGTTCTAGTTTAAATTAATGAAGACCTAAGCCTATTAAGTGAAATCAGGATGGAAAAAAAATAAAAATAAACTTATCGTTTGAACGCTTTAAAAATCGTCCAGGAATACATCATTCAGTTAAATTTAAGATTTTCTATAAATTCATAAAGTGTCAGTTATATTAAAATTATTGAAGTTGAAAAGGTAATAAGGCATTTCTTGCTATTCTGAAGCCGGTTGTGATGTGTTCAGTATTGGTAACGTTTGAGTGCTTTAATATTGAAAACATCTTTTCCTACAGTCACCCGACAAAGTTGGCTTCCTTGTACTGTTTATAGTACAGAAACCTGCTAATTGCTGCATATTTATACTTTGTCGTACGGTTTATACTTTGGCGCACATCAGGATTCCAACAAAACAACACAAAAAAGCGTTGTTCTATTATGCACGTAATCCGTGTACGCTTGGAAATAGGTTGGCAACACTTAAAGATAATAATACTATGAGCAGCTGATTGACTATTATAACTACGATTTAACCTGTAATTTCGTGTTTACAGTTTATGCTCTCTTTTCGGTATTTCTGAACTTTCTAGACTTTTCTTTTAAACTTTTTTAAAACATTCCTACGATCTTAATAAACAAGAAAATACCTTTAAAGTGCTTTTTTAGGCGCGGAAACCACTGCAAATTACAAAAATATACGGAACTATTTTCTCAAGTCGCGGAGCACATTGCTTGCCGAGGAAAAAATAGCGGAGTGATACGGACCGGGGACTACTTTCCCTAGGGCACCTATTGGTGTTGCCTGCTGAATCTAAAAACGTGTTGTATAGTGTTTGAAAGACTAATTATTTATATGCTATATAGTGACTGTAGGAAAAATATAATGTGTAACACGAGTGCAAAAGGCCTTTGCTGCACTCGAGATCATTCCGCACGAGGCGCATTGCTCTCATGTGAAGCAAAGTGCCACATTGCTCACTAATTACACAAATAAATATTTCCTACAGTCACTCAACAAAGTGCGCTTCCTTGCACTGATTACAGTACTGCTAACTGCTAATTGCTGCATTTACTTACTTTGCCGCACACTTTTTACATTCTCGCACAGTTATTTCTTTGTCGCACAACAGCATTCCAACCAAACAACACAAAACAACGTGCTTCGCTCACTATTTACACAAATAACTATTATCCCTAGTTTATTATTTGAAAAATACACAGAATCTCAATGAATTTTCCACCAGGCAGAATTACTATTTCCACCATACACGAAATAAGGAACAACTAGATATACCACATCTCAGGCTAGCCATCACGGGTAATTCTTTCAAACTTAACTGTGAAATTCTATAATATGCTGCCTGAGCCTCTTCAGGCAGACAGCCTTTCTCTTCCTCTTTTTAAGTCAAAGATTATAATTGGATTGTAGCAAACCCATTCTACTCAGTACTTCATGAAACATAAAATTAAAGCGGAATCTTTCATACTGTAAATTAAGAATTCTCAATCGTTATTCTCAATCTTTGTTACCTATATGAACATATTTAGTAATATTTTATTTAATGTAATTTGACAATGTCTATTCCTATGTAAACTTGGTCAATGGCAATAAACTTTCTTATTAGCGAATTTCCCATATAGGGAATAAGCTATTACCGTAGTACTCATGGTAAGACCTGGACGCGGGACCGATTTTTTTTTCGTTTTGAGGTCCCTAGAGGCCAAAAACACCATCCGTTCAAATTCATATATATATATATTTATATATATATATATATATATTTATATATATAAATATATATATATTTATATATATATATATATTTATATATATAAATATATATATATTTATATATATATATATATATTTATATATATATTTATATATATATATATATATATATATATATATGTGTGTGTCCGTCAGCACGATAACTCGAGCAAAAATGATCCGATTTTGATGAAATTTGGTCCAAACCTGTAAACCTACGTTTATTCGAACGATTTCGCGATCCAGCATGATTGGACCATGGGAACGGGGGTTTACGGGGGGTTTTATGGGGTAAAAATAGGGTTTTCCCATTTTTGACCCAAAAAACATAAAATTTTGCAATTTCTTTCCAAACCATTTTGTACAGCTTAAAAAAACAAAAAAATTAGTATATTAAAGCGTTATTATGCGCCTAATGGTTACGGAGAAAATTCAAAAAAATTTTAAATTTAAAATTCCCATGTTATTCTTATCGAGAATAAATAAACTGTTGTAGTTTGCTTGTTTATGAACATATTTTGATCAAATTTGGAAAATGTTTTTATTTCTTACTAACTATTAACATTTTACAAAAAAAAAAAAAAAAAAAAAAAAAAAACAGTTTTACCCTGTTTGCAGTGCTCTCTGATGCAGCAAACCTAAGTACTTGGTAAACTAATTCTATTTAAATAGGGAATAAATGTTATATTTTTAAGTAGTCATTTCAGTGTAAATCCAATCAGTCAAATGGAAATCCGCTTAGTCTGCAGGTTTGCTGCGGCGGGGGTATTTTTATTCTTATTCTTATTCTTAACTAACCTTAAATTGTCTTAATCTGTTACATCTAATTACAAGGAGTAAATTTTAGCGATTGTACCAAGGTATTTCCTCAATTTGTTGTGTCCAGCCTTCAAGAAGAAAAGTTTGTTTTGCACTAAATTTTAAAGATCAGGTACCTTTTTTGTATGAGAAGGAAACCCCGTTTTCCACCATAACCTTAGGTAAATCTTATCTTTTTAGTAAGCGTCGTCTATGGTTTAGCAGCATTTTTACGCATTTGTATATGAAATAAAATTATGAATTACTCTGTGTACCAGTAGTGTGTTACCAGTACAGTGTATGAAGTCATCTTAGGCAGGTGTTTTGATTTTATATATACACACGAACACACGGAAATCGTGTGTATATATAAACTGTAAATAGTCGGCAAACATCGTTTAATGTGATTTTTTAAATTCAAGAATGCTGCTGAAGATGAGCTGTAAGTAGCTCGAAACATGTACAGCATATGTAAACATTTGACACCTTCAGGCAAAAGAAGGTAAATTTTACCTAAGTAAAAAATATTAAAGGTGTCAAGGCTGATATAAAATTAACTGTGCTGGTATTTTAAACAAATGAATTATGTATTTAGTCTAGTAATAAAACATTCTTGTACAATAAATAAATATATTTAATGAAAGTAACAAATGTTAGTTAGTACTAAGGCTTACAAAACAAAAAGTCAAACAATCGTACACGTAAGGGTCATTATTTCAACCCTGAAAGTTTGGAGTTATTGCACATAAACTGAGATAACACAAAATTGAAATGTCAATTAGTCTGTACACGTTTATACAGTTAATTGCAGTAATTCGATTTTCAACATAAATGTATTAATGTAAATTCAAATAAATATCTAAATTGCAGATGTGTTTAAGATTTCATTATCCGAAGATAGTTCTGAGTATGAGTTGTATTTGTATGCAGTGAAATAAATGTACGTCTTAGAATATTATGATAATATCATATTCAGTAGGAGTGAACAGATGCCATTTCTAATAATGAGATTACAGTTCTCTTATAATTTTCTTCTCTTTGCGTTCAATTTGTGTAAGTCTATGCTGCTAATATTCCAAAACTATTTTGTTATAGATAATGTAAATATGATATTTTGGTAAAAAATACTAAATACTAAAGCACATTATTAATATGATACAGTAAACTTTGGCTTCACATCATAGTTTGTGTATTGGAGGCCTGCCAAGATTTATAACACTCAGAAATATTTAAGCCTACTTATTTTAATAAAAAAGGGATTTTTTGTGTAAAATATACAAGTTTATAGAAAAGTTATCTTCTGTAATGTATATTATTGCAAAAGGCAACTGCATTTGACATGTTTAACTTTTTTATTTAAAGACAAAACAATATTAAAAGGTAAAAGGGATATTAGGTATAATAAACATTTGAACAATAAATATAATGCGAAATTTTTGTAAACAGTAAAACAACAAAAAGCTTCTTGGTAAAGTTGACATATAATATATCACGACTCATTAAATGTCCAATCTGAATCCACAGAAAGCAATTTGTACATGATTAAAACTTCTCTCCGAGATAATACAAAATGAATACTATGATTAATAAGTATTAAATGTCAAGATCTAACATTTGTCGTGTAGAAATGTCAGCTGATAATGAACAGACAGCTAAATAACAGGTGTTCTTATCCGAAATAGTATTGCTCTTTACAAATGAGATTTTGTTTCAAAATCTGAGAAATATTGATCAAATTTATAAAACAGTTAGCTTTATATTGATTATCATAATTTAAAAGCTGATGAACAGTAATTAGGTAAATTTACCTAATTTATAATAGACTAGATTATGTAATGATTCTGAATCGATGTAACAAGTGTATTACTTGAGTACTTAATTTATAAATATAATACAAGTATCTAACTCTAATAGCAAATTTAATAATTAATTTACTTTTAAAAAATACAGAAGATTCAACTAACTATAATTTTGGAACACAGGTTTCGGGTATTTGAGTACCTTTTTAACTTTTCTGAATAGATTTGCTAAATGCCGAAGGGGTGACAATTTATTATTGGACCTTAAAGATATTTAATCAAATATTACCTGTTGTGTAAATAATAAATAAAAAGGACAAAATCAAGTTTAATTAAAGTTTAGCCCATTTTGGCATACATGCATAAACACAGACTCATTACTAGTCATTCCTCTTTTCCTAGTTGGCAATCCTGCCAGTGACGTAGCATTACCTACTCCTTTTTCCTCTTATCTCTTCTTCATGTCAATGTCATTACTTACATTCCCTCCCGCTACCGCTTATCACTCACCAGTTTGTGCCTTGAACTTTCTTTATACCGTGATCGGTTTTAAATTCAATAATTATCGTGTCTCGCCTCCGGGATTCTTTTTGTGTCCGTGAAAGACGTTATCCACTACGGCAGGATGATCTTCGCTGGACCAAGGGGCCCCTGAGAATTCTACACTCCACACTCCAGGCCACCGACCACGCGGCGGAGAAGAAAGGATCGGTCGTGAGTGATACTTCAATTTTACTATTAGATAAGACTTCATTAATTATTTTCTTTCAAGTTTCAGATGTGTCATTTTACTGCTCAATTTATTCAAACGTCATAATACAATACAGTCCACTAATTAAATTACGCAACTAATTCAATTCTCAAACAATCCATAACATTACCCTTGCTACAAATTCACTTTTATTGCTATTGCAAATGTATTTATTTAACTATATTATAATTATATTCTTCATCCAACACACAATTTTTATTTTCCTGGATCCTGTACTCTTAACCTGACTTTTGTAAAACCCATATTTTGGCCTTTGGTAAACCATTTCACAGGGTGTCCCGGAACTCTCTACCAATATTTTAGATTATAGTTGCAATTATAGTTGCATTGTTCCTGAGTAAGAAAAATATCTACAAATCATATTTAAATTGTCCGGAAGTCCTTAGTTACTCACATAGCCGCCATTTAGTTTTTTGCTTAATATTATATTTCTAAAAAGTGGTTAAAGATAAGAAATTGAAACGTTTCACAAGCATTTATGACAACTAGACAAAGCTACACAAAGATTATGATTTTTTTTTCAAATTCATAAAACAAAATGGCGGCTATTTAAAACTTTTGTAAAACCAAAGTTTTTTGAGTTATTTAAGTTACAACATTTTAAATATCTGACATTTTGTTTTATAAATTTGCAAAATCGTCATATTGTTTTGTAGCTTTGTCTAGTTGTCATGAATGTTTATGCAGAGTTTAAAAACTTTTTAGAAAAAAAATTAATAAGTGAAAAAACAGAATAGTGGCTATTTGAGTTACTAAGGACTTCCAGACAATTTTATTTACATATTCAGATATGTTTCTTACTGAGGAACAATGCCCTAAAATACTGGTAGAGAGTTCCGGGACACCTTGTACAAAGCAAAAACAAATGAATTTGAATACATAAAAAGATTACTCACCCCTAGACACGAAGGGTGTATCCAGGCCTGGTGGAGGGAGTGCGATTCCTGGTATTGAAGGTCCTTGAAGAGCCAAACCTATCATGTTCACCCCGTTCACAGTACCTGTACATTTACAGCAAGTTAGTACATTTACAACAAGTTAGTACATTTACAGCAAGTTAGTACATTTACAACAAGTTAGTACATTTACAGCAAGTTAGTACATTTACAACAAATTAGTGCATTTACAACAAGTTAGTACATTTACAGCATGTTAGTGCATTTACAACATGTTAGTGTATTTACAACAAGTTAGTACATTTACAGCATGTTAGTGCATTTACAACATGTAAGTGTATTTACAAAGTTAGTACATTTACAGCATGTTAGTACATTTGCAACAAGTTAGTGCATTTACAACAAGTACTTTTAGAGCATAGAATTATACAAATTTTAATAGTAAAATTAACTTTTCATTAGATTTGTAAACAGAAGTCATAGGTCTCTTTGAGGTGATTCCAACAAATTATCACATAATGTATTTGTAAGGGTACATTTTTAATCATTTTATGAGTTTTTAAATTACGAGTTTTTGATTATAGGCCAACCAACGTCTTCGGGATATACGTTGCGTCCAACTTTTACGTAACGGATTTCTTGATGAAATTTGTTATTTGTAGAGCTCGGTGTAGTTTTATTTGTTTATATTTTAAACGTAAAACTTGAGTTCACAACTACTAGTAGAGAGATACTACTAAGAGATTTTTGTATTAAAAAAACTTGACAATTCGTAAAACATTTGTTTGAAACTTATTGTAGACTATTATCATAAATTTGAAATAATACCCAGCTCTAGTTTTACTGGCTAGAAGAAATGGTTGGAAAAACTGAAAGTTAGTGGATAAAACAAACTTTATTTTAAGAATATTTATCCATAGTTGAGTAATCCCAGTTATTAAATCATATACTGTTCATTTTATGTATAAAACTAAGGAAATTATATAACAACAAATGTTTAAGAAGTGGCTAAATTAATGTATAAATGTAAAACCGTTTTTATTTAACTAATCATGTTGCTACAACTAAACATGTGTTTTCGTCTTTTTGTTTAGTTTGTTTGTCTATTTCCTATGTCAATGGCCCTCCTAATTTTACAATGGCCTTCCTTAATGATTCTCATAAACACAAAAGCTGAATATTAACAACAATATTTCAATAAAGATATTTTAAATGTTACAGTAATATTGCACATTTCAAGGCACATTGGTCAGAAATTTCGGGTGATAAATTGGAAACGGAAATTGAAGTCTTGACGGAGACAGTCCTTAGGCAAGGCCGTGACTCCTTCAAGTTGTATGTTAAGACACTTAGGTCAAAGGAAAAACTAAATAATTAAACTATAACCCTTCTGGTCTTGCATTGGTTTAGCTTATTGCCAAGAACGTAAACCATTATATGTTTAAAAATGTATTGAGTAGACAGTTTTGTTGTAGAAAAATGCTTGAATTTGGTAGGCATTAAATACATCGCATATCTAAGTAACTGCATGTATTTTGTGTTGTCACAACGAGTATTTATTTATTATTCCTACGGTACAAAACAATTTTTACAAATTCAACTAGTTGCTGACAGATAGAGTTTGAAAAACAAAAGTTAATACTTAAACATAACGGAAAGTAAATAAAGATACGTCTTATAACACTTAAAACATATATTTACGCTTATACCGTTACTCACAAGACGGTAAATATACAAAAGATGGTAAGTGGTGATCGATTTCGATTGGACACTCCAATCATCATCAGACCCAATAGGCAAATGACGACTTAAACATAACAAAAAACAATGGCACTATTTTTCAACGACCTTCAATGTCAATTGATCAATTAATCAATCAATTATTTAAGATGGGGTCGCCACTAATGTGTTTAAATGTTCAAAATTTATGTGGTTTTTAATTGCAATTTTTCTACAGCTATCCAAGAAGCAAAAATGTGACAGTTAAATATTCAGAATAAGTTCTTCAACGTTCCCAACCTTGAATTTGTCTCTGTCGCGGTTAAAGAAGACTTTACCGTAACACATATTAATTTATTGACATGACCTGAGTATAGAAAAACTATATTTAAATTAATTTACTATGGCACCTCAATAAATAAATATAACATCGTTCACCATTTGTATTTTAAGTAAATATTCTGGAATTGTTTGAAATTAAATTTAAACTTAATATGATTTTTTAATCCAATTGCCTTTAATCTGTTACATGATGAATTGCCTAATGCTATGGAACGATGATTGAAACATTGAGTCATAGTTCATCACACCATTAATGACTCAATCAATATGGATGTTGAACCATTCTGATGGACATATTGACGTTTACTCGATACATGTTCTACTTGTTAAAGCATGATGAATATTGCCATTTTCCTTTTTTCCAAATGCCAAAACGACGAATTACGTCACATCAAGACATCTAAGCACACATATGTGAATATTGTAAGTTGATTATGATTTATAAATAAATCAAAAAGTCTTTGATTCCAAAAGTCTCTAAGCACAAGAACTGTTTTACAGAGTAAACTCAGATCAATATGACTAACAAAATATACAACAATTCAGGGTGAATGGTCAATTTAGTGGGTTACCCGTGCAGTTTTGCTACAGACATAAATCAGCTGTTTTTGCAAGGGCTATAGTTTATAATCTCAACGATTAGGTACATAAAGGTCTACTTTCTAACTATTGAAACAAAAGATTTTAGTTTTTAAGGGTCTAAGATTATTAAGCTTGGAGTAATTGGTAGGCTGAAGCTGTTTAAGATTACGTTTAAATAATAATGACACTAAGACATTCCATTTGTGTTGAATATCAAATAGATTAATTTTTTCTTTCTCCCCCTATACCATATACATGTATCTAACAAAAAACCACTAAGTGGTAACACTTTCCCCGCCAAGTCAGCAATCCAAAAAAGATAATAAATCATTACTTTTTCCGCCAAGAAAAACAATGTAATGTATGTAAGTTTGGCAACTTGGCGGCAGACTTTTGCTTGGTTTTTTAAATTTAAGTTACGTTCGTGGATAATTTCACAAATCAACTTCTCTAATTAATTAGTCCAACTAAGTATAATAATTTCGAGGTAATCAGTAAACTATAAAACCATCACTATTATGATTTTATGAAATGTGGCACAAATAAGGTCAAATTTTGTAAAATAAGCTCTCACCTAGCAATGAACTAATGGGAGAGATACTTGCTCAATGAAACTAGTTTTTATGGCAAAATAAAAATCCTCTTTTCTCTGATATATAGACCACGGCACAACTACATCTCATTTAATTTCAATAATATTGTTTGTGTAGAGCTAAATTCTACATTTTTGGTCTTATCTGCTTTAAACCGATTAAAAACTTTTTGACACACGTACCAAAATTACTATTTAACAAACCCCCTGGGCTTAAACTAAGTTTCAAATTTCATCAATGGTCACCTTGAACAACATAAAATGCGTTGATGTTACATAAGTGTTCTGATAATTAAACCCGTATATCTAAAGACTAGTATAAATTGAGCCCTTATTAGAGAAGTAAAAATGTGATCAAACAGATTAGGTTTGTTAGAAGTAGCATAAGGCAAAACAAATATTGAAAAACTCATTTATCCTAAATTTACCTATCACTTTTTAATTGCTTGTTTAACATACGTAGAGTGATTTTCCCGATTAATTTATTTGTTTTAGTGTATCAAAACATAAAACAAACCTTAGTACTGGTACTAAGTTTCAGAGTTCCTAGGTTTCATATGTTTTGATAAGTAGTATTAAACTTAAACTGTTAAAATGACGAGCTGCTCAGCTGTACCAGTGTACTATCGGTACACTGCATTTTTCAATGGAAAGTATCGGGGAATATCACTGCTCTAAGTAATTTTATATAGTAAGTACTTCAAATCATTCGGTATACCTGAAAAAATACTTTATTAAAGTTTTAAAATAATTTTTCAGCTGTTCTCATGAATGAATTTCTCTAAAATTTAAATTAATTGAGATTTAATCGCAGCTGGTCCTTCTTTTGTTTTGATTTTAATCCCATGTTATTTAAATGGGCCAAAATCGTACTTTGATGGCTTGCCAAGGGTTTATGGGTCTACGCACCGACTTGAGACCCTCAAAAGGCACATCTACACGTTAAGGGCTTTCAAACAACATAAAAAACATTAAAATTGAGCCAGTGGTTTGGGCTGTAGGTCTGTCAACATTCAAGGAGATGAAGGAGAACACGGAAAATTTGTGAATTTTCAAACTAGTTTTTCTTGGCTCAAACACAACTGTTTTTTAAATTATTTTTTTTATTTTGTTGAGAATGAGTGCCCCTATCCAGTAGATGAATAATTTTTTAATAGCTTTTGTTTCTTCAGAGCTATAGACGAGTAAAAAAGCCACTTTGTCACGTCATGTACATATACACTGCAGCAGCTGTGTACCGCTGGGGGACTTGGCGAGGCGGAACGCTGCCGCGTTCCTTAATATGGAAAAATAATTGCTTTAGTACAAATTTTCGAGTTTGAGTTTTGAGTGGATATATCCATTTTGGGTCCCACTGAATTTTAAAAAGTGGTTTTCGAAGTGATGTCTTTGTGTGTGTGGATGTGTGTGTGGATGTGTACAAAGCTACAGACCACTCCTGTAGTCCGATTTTGATTAAATTTGGTATGTGGGTACTAATCCATGGTATTTCTAAGGGTTTTTTCCACTTTTTTATTTTGATTTTTAATGGGGATTTTCTCTTAAAAACCCATAAAAAACGGGAAAATCAAATTTTCTCAAAAATAGTTCTAACGATTTTGATAAAAATGAAGTATGTCATAGTACTTTAGATTGTGAACAAAATGGTACACAACTCCATTTCCGTAAAATTGCGGTTCAAAAGTTATTGCAATTTTGTGATTTTTTCCTACAAAATTATCATAGTTACTCCTACCTTACCCATGATAAAGGTTGTTGACAATTTTATGGGTGAATCTATGTGTCAGATTGCTGACATTGTTCATTTATGTATATTTTCACCACTCAATATCCTGTTATATGGTCTAAAGGACCTAGTTCTACACTTTGC